GCTCCGCACACTGCCGACTGCCAAGAGTGAAGCGTGTGACCTTGTCTCCGTGACCACAGTGTCTGGAAGAAAAAGAGAAAGGTTACAGATAAATTAAAAAAAAAAAAAAAAAAAAACGATGATTAAAGGGTGAGAAAACTGTAAAGATGGACAAACTTTAAAAAAAGAGAAAGAAAGAGGACTACTACTAAGCCACACCAGATAATTTGTAACTCATTCTCTTATAGATATCAATATCTGCCATGCTTAATTATTTTTTCTAATTTCTCAGAGCATTTAATGATCAACCTCTGGATGTATATAGGGAGTGGATTTGCTCACCCAACCTGCAGCAAATATATTGCAACACCTTTTTAAAGTATTTCCACCTTTTCAGCATTAATACTAATTTTAAGAAAACCAGGAAGAAGTTATCTGATCTAACTCCAGAGTTTGCTTAGAAGCTGGCCTAATCCCAACTCCTTCACTTTGATGGATTTGTGACTGTTCAAATTAATTCAAGGTGCGCTTCAGCACAGTAACGTGAAATTATTCATCAAATTCATATTCAGTTCTTAAAATAAAATCAATATATTTAATTAAAGCCCATATAATTCTTTCTATACTAATTATATGTTTTTTTTTAATTTCCAGTTTTAATTACTTAATGATATCTCAAAGTATTTATTTATTGTATTGTGGTACTTGTTATCCTCCATTGTTTGAAACTGGAACTGCTGTTTCTGCATTGATCCCTCCAGTTTCTCCCAGAGCATAGCTTTTTTTCAGTAATGACATTTTCCATGTATCTATCTGCTGGTTTTTGCCTTTTTTGTTTATGATTAACATCCAAAGTTACAGCAGTTGTAGTTGCAAAGGTATAAAAGTTTATTTCCATCATTTATCAGAAGTCTTTATTTAGATGGAGCAGTAAAAAAAACAAGCTCCAGGTGACTTATGTGACTTAATAAGGAAGGATTTAACTGGTGCAAACAAAGCCATGTTTGAATTAATCAACTTTAATAAGTAGCTGTTTATTTGGTTAGTTTATCTTTCACCACTGGTGTGATGGATATAAATCTCATAGTATAAAGAAAAAAAATATATAAATTGGATCTATTTTTTCAAGATGATTACATTTAAACTAAGAAAGAAATTAATTAAGAAAGTAACTAAGTATTTTTTCACTTCACACAAGCCTTGTAATATAAGAACTTTACAGTAATTAAATTTTTCCGTCTACATATCAGACTGAAATTGTTCAGCCTGAAAGGAACAATGAAGGAGACGCACTGGTTCAGCTCTCCATATGACTAAAATCTCTTGTATTCTTTGTATGCCTGGACTAAGAAGTAGGGTTGAAAGGAGAAATTATAGTCTGTCTAATAAAACATCCAGGCCTGACTGAGATGATTTTATTTCAGAATGTGTTAGGGAGTCAGGAAACCAAATCCATCTGGTACTAAAATAACACACTATGGTCACAATCAAACCTAGTGGTGGGAAAGTAAATAACATTTTGAACAGGTCTAAACACCAGTCAGCTTTGACTCAAAATCTTCAGGTAAATGACAGAAGGCTGAAAAGCTAATAAAAGAAATTAAATTATCAATGTCCAGCATCACTATGGTTCCAAGTGTGAAATTAATCAAAAGAATGACTTCACCAGCACAAAGTTTTAAAATGTACAAAAACCAGAAAGAATCTGAAAGAGAGAAAATCTATTAGGTAACCTCACTCGAACTGAGCGCAGGATTTTCCAGACAGTCAGATAGATGTAGAGAACTATTACAAGGTAGAGTGGGTAGATATTGTTAAGTCAATTTGCAGGATTCTGAACTGGCGAGCCAGATTGGTAATGTGTAGCACTCAGGTTTAGTTCTACACATTATCAGTCTAGGACTGCCCCCATTAAATCTGTTCTGGGAAAAGAACAGATTTAAAGCAAAGCCTTTCGAGCTGATTGGGCAAAGTGACACCTAGTGCCAATGAGAAACCATAACCTATGCTTTTACACTATTACTGTTCCTCTTTTAAATATGGAATTGTGGATTCTGACAAAAGCAGAAGTAATAGCAACATCTACGAGTGTGTCTTCCTTCGCTGCCACGTTTATTTTGGCTTAGCAGCTCTTGCTTTCATCCCACCGATACGACCCGCCCTAAAACATAATACTGCAACATGATTGACTGACCCGGTTTGGGTCCATTTCAAACTGTGGATTCCCATGTGTTTGTGAACGCAAAAGTACCAAGAGAATTCAGCTTGCAGGCAATGTTAGGGTAAAGCTTTAACCAGGGATGTCCCAATACAACTTTTTTATTTCCGATACGATGCTGATATTACGTCTTTGAGAATTGGCCAATACTGCTATTGACCAAATATGATGTTAGGATGAATTATACATTCTTTTATTACTTATTTTGTATGGCAGAGTTTCATAGAAAAAGGTATCAAGTTATATTATTAAAACAGAGAAACAAAAGTCTACAATAATGTGTATGAGAACTGACTGATATGAACTCTTAAGTCCAATTTATGCTTCTGCAACCTTCAAATCTGTCTCTGTGTGCGACCACGCCCCGTGCGCGCACCTCAAAAAAAATCCTGACTATGCGTCGGACGGTGGCAAACCCATGCAGACCTCAAGCGGAAGTGCGCAGAAAAAAGCAGCTGTGATTGGTCCTTGGTATGCCTTTCCGACTGTCTGCGTGGTCGTCCTTCTCCATTTGGTGCCAAGGAGTGCCATTTTTAAAAACCGAGGAACAACTACAATGGACAGCTACCACGAAAGGTTCATCGGTGTTTTTGCCAACTCAATTAACAGACCCTGTTCCTCTTCGATGTCTAGCAACTCTAGATCCATCTCCGTGACCGTGATATCTTGCAGATGCGCCATTGTTGTTTTGGAAAATAAACACTCCCGCCTGCGCCGCCGAAGTTCTCGTGACCATCCACTGAAGGCTCCCCCTTGCGCTTTGGCGGGAAACTGCTGTGCGTCTCTAGAAATTCCAGACCGACGGTGCAGAAGCATACCAGGAAAAGTGGTTCACGACCAGACCAAAGCGACATTGGATGTGTGTGGGTGCAGAAGTATAATTTGCCCTTTAGGTTACAGAAACTTTAAACACATGCAGAAAGTTTCTATCAGCATGTCAATATCTGACATTTTAGATGCAGGCAGATTAAATACGATATTAGTTTTATGGCTATATATCGGAGTGATACCCAATATCAATATCGGATCGGGACATCCCTGCCTTTAAGAAAAGATTTTATTTAAGGCTGTGGTATTTTCACAGTGATGTGTTATTTTGAATTAAAAATAATGTTTTTTATAACAAATATCAAGAATATATTTTGCATGGTAAAAAAAAAAGAACAGTTGTATTTTCTTTGATGCACTTTCATATAACCCATCTGCAACTGACCACTGGGTGACACCAACTGATGTTTTTCCCTGTAGTTTGAACTCTGGATCAGATGCTGACTTTCTAACTCTTTTCCTCCCCCATCAGCTCAGATTGACCGTGCAAAGTTGCTGTCTGGATAAAATGCGAATGAACAGCTGGGCTGCCTGAGGGCTCTGCAAGGTATGAGTACTTCTAAGGAAGAGCAACAGCATGGAGCGATTACTAATATTTTCTTTCCCCCCAACTTCCCAAAACTCTTCTCCACCCTTGATGGTTTAATCCATTGCATGTTCTCTCTCTCTCTCCTCCGATCCACCACACAAATTTGGAGATCACCAAAACCATATGTGTGTCCGTGCAAACATTAACAAGTAAACAGAGAAAAGGATGGCAAAAGGAAGATGGCATTGTGAAACTCAGGACGGGTCATGTGTGTTCCATTAGAGGTCAGATTAAAGGGAGATTTTTGTTTTCAACATCAAAGGCCTCACGCTGAGGGTTTCCTCTACATCTCCCCCATTTTTTGAGCCTCTCTCTCCCTCGTTGTCCTTTTCATGAATGGATAATAAGGGGTAAATCTGGGATAACAAACTTTTTGACCTGCAGTGCTGGGTTCCACTTTGCACCTGGATGACTTCCCACAGGAAGGAGTCAGTTGGCCCATATACAATCGCTAATATCTCTGTACTGTTGTGCACATTTGCATAAAGCCTGACTGTGTTTGTGAAGGTATTCAGCAAGCTCAAATTCCCTTTGGAGTTAAGATTCCCAGGATTTTTTGTGGCCCTGTGTTTGTGTTTAGTGATAAACTAGAAGCAATCCACCCTCCTGTTTGAGGTCAGAAGATTAATGGAAAAAACTTGAACCTTGTTTGAAAATCAGAAGGGGAAATCCACTTGTGAAATATATGAGATTATAACACTGTCTGTATCGAAGTGTTAATAGCACTTGAAGCTTTCCACATTTTGTCGTGTAACAAACCAAAGGTTTCAATAAATTTCACTGACTTGTGATGCATAACACAGTGCATACCTGTTGGTGTTGGAAGTGTCTCTGTAAGGCGATGATGTGGTGTGAATTGGTCCTATAACAATAAACCCATAAGTCATTTTTTTGTAATAATAAACTTGCAGAGTGCACCGAATCCTGATGTTATTTAAGGGCACTTTTTGGGCTTAAATAGAAAGTTTGTACTGTAGTTTCAGGTGAAAACCGAAAATATATCCCCGTTTTCCTTCATGGTAAGCACTGATTGCTGTGTGCGCCTGTTTTCCTTCGAGGTGAGCACCAAGTGACTGCTGTGTTTAATTGTTTTCCTTTAAGGTAGGAACTGAGCGACTGCAGTGAGCAGTCATGCTTGCAGAAGAGAGAGTTCAACTGTAGTGCACGTAAAGCAGTTTTTGCCATATTTGTCAGGACTTGTATTGGTAATGTAGGCATATGTCTCTCCTGTAACTTGAAGTCTACATTGGTGCCTTCTCCTAAAGTTATTAGAGAGGGGTTTTTTTATGAACATTTTTAATCAACGCTGCTTGACCAAAAATAACTGTTCATATCTTGTCCGCTACACCCTTGTCATCTTTCTTTTTAACTTCTTTGCTAATTAAACCAACTCCCATTTCATTTGTTCTTTTCTCCACATTGGGAGGTGACATTAATATCTCCCCTTCAAATGAAAAGTAAAAGATTGACCCAGTGAGGCGGCAGTCATGCACTGGCACAGCATTGATACTGCTTTTCATAGGATAGAAGACCATTTTGCAGTTTTTAATTAAAAGTAAGCATACCTTTGACAACTAACAGCTCTGCACTAAAATTCACTGGTACAATTCCTGGGAAAAAGAGCTCAGAAGTCAGTTAAAGGGCCAATATGCTCATTAAAAAAAAATACATCAGGCCAGCTGATATTTTTGTCTGATGGTAGCTTTCTTTCCATGAATTTGTAATTCCTGATTATTTATTAGTGCTTTTAGCAACCTTGCCTTGAGATCATGTGAAGCACATACATTATTGCTTTCTCTATTAGCTATCTGTTCATAAGGTTTTGCTCAATTTTTAAAATAAATTATTCTTTTTTTATTATTGTCGTGTTTTACCTTCCGGTGGCATGGAGGTGCGTGGATGTTCTGATGAAGCACACGACAAGGAATCTTCTTTAACCGAACAGGTTGAGTTACAGACACAGCTGATGGTTGATACACTGCGTTGTTTTGGCCTCTCGCTCTGGCACAGACAGCGTTTTAGCAGTGTCCGTACAGTAAGCCTTGAGCGCCTTACAACTCGAATCATAACAACGAAAACTCTCGCGATGATAAGGTTATATAGATGACCGTGTTGCATTTACTGACTTAACACTAGGCTCGGAGAAATCAAAACAAAAACAGAAAAAGTATTTTATGCTCATAACAGCTTAAACTGCCTTACATTATTTATACCGAGAGTTGTGTAACGGTTAATATTATTGTGCATTTTTGATTATGTAAATGAAGAAGGAAAAAGCAATTTCAACTATAAAAATCAGGCTAAAAATATAAGCAGCACATATCGATGATCGGTTAGATTGATGTCGAGATAATTGGCACTGGCATCTGCTTTAAAAAAAAACACTGTTCGATCCGTAATAAAGAATGAGCATATCAGCCTAATAGTTTTTTAGCATATGTACTATGGCGAACCCTGCCTTCCCATAGGTAGGTGATTAATTAATAATTAAGCATTTTAAAAGTTATTTTTTGTTATTTTTTTTTTTTTAACTAATTTGCTTAAACTGGATTTTACTGAACAGGTACATAATTGTCATTGTCAAAAAATTGGCAAGGTGGCAAAATAAAGAACAACACCCTTAATGAATTCATGCTACAAGGAAAAATGATGATTCAAATCTCTTGGCGACCATTGTGTAAAACCTGGTTAAAAACCCTTAAATTTGCTTTGTTTTTTCAGTGGGACACATGATTTTAATGTGAATTTCCAGAAGTACACTGACCAGCTGAAGTTAATGTAAAGAAAAGGGATTTCCCCTTGGCCTTTTTTTTCTCCGTCCGATTGCTCTTTCCATTTTTCTTTCCAACAGCTGTGTTAGCTGTGTGTGAAATTAAGAGAGAAGAAAAAGCTGCAACGCAGCACTTTACTATCCCAAAGACACAGATGGGAGTAAAAGCCACACACATGCACTGACTCAGGCTCCAGCACTCTTCATTTCATTTCAAACATAATTCAGCTACTCCTGAACAGCTTCATTTGTAGTTAATTGTCCTACCTGTTAGCCTATAATCGGCATATTTAGTTCCTTCTAATATAGCTGGCTATTGGATCTAAGAAGAGGCCTAATTAGTAATGAGGAAAAAAAGAGGGGAGGATAGATTCCAGCAGTTAAGCTTCTCGCCAACGGACATGTGCAGATGGCCCTGAGAGAAAAGGCCTTTGACTCAGAGACAAAGGGACACTTGTGTCCAACACAAATGCATATAAACACAAATTGCACTGCGTATTGTTCCTCTTCTCTGCGGCCGTTAGCTCCCAGCACTGATGGAGGGTTTGACTGTCTGCCCTTGAGACGTGATGTCACTCTGCCTAACTGCCATCCACTCAAAGAGAAATGGCCTTTTATTGGCTCGGGGCCACACAATGAAATGAGACAGAGGGCGTCAGGACAGGAGGAACGGAGCAGAATGAAGACATTACAGCAGAAAAGAAGATACAGAAGAGCGGAAAGAGAGCTCCTGACAAATTTAAGGCTTGCTTGATGGTTGTGGTAACGGCCCATTAAACGGTGTTAAAGTCACATTTTTGCCTGCCACAATGATACAGGGGAATGTAGAGGAGGAGCCTGCTGTAAAAGTGTCAGGAGGTTAAGCACCAAGCTATAACTTTACTATGGATTTACTATGGAGTATTACTGCTGGAAATTAGACTGCTGAGATAAAAATGACCATGCAGTAAAAACACAGAAGGAATAAAATAACTGTTTTTATGAGGAACAGAATGATACATACCTTTAAATATTCCCAGAGAGGAAACTGCACCAGTGAGAATGGGATCTGAAAAAAAACAAAACAGAGTTTTAATAATTCAATTAAGTCTTTCAGATTTTTCAATCATTCTGTTGTTTCCGGTTTATCACTTAAAATATACTTATTTTTGTATTTGTCGTTCTTTTCACAATACAGTGGTCCAGAAAACCTGACTAAATACTGTACGGTGAAAAAAGAAAAGTTATATCATATCATAGCTAAAAAAAAATGCAGCTAAAGACTAAATAAAGTGTTTTCATTTGATTTTTTCCTATTTATTTATATGTGTTTTTTGGCAAAAAAGAATAGCTACTCTAGAAAACCTTTAAATTACATGGAACAGGTCTCCATTTTTAATTATATGATCTGTAAAGACCATTAAATCGAAATTCAATTCAATTTATTTCAAAATAAATTTTCAAAGAGAAATTAAAAGATGCAAAAGACTTTTAATTTAAATTTTTTTATATATATATTTTTTATTTTTTTATCGAGTTGTTGTAGGTGTTGATAGCCGTATGTAGGAAGTATCTTCTGTAGCTGTTTTGCACAGGATCTGGAGAAGCCTCTGACTGAAGACACTTTGTTATTTAGAACTCTTCTGAAGAGGATGATCACTGTTATCCATAATCTTCTTTACTTTATGAATAATTCCTCTTTGTGAAATAACCTCCAGAGGTTCTAGAAAAGATCCTAGAACAGAGCCGGGCTTCCTAATTAGACTGTTGAGCTTTGTTGTTCTGTTGAGTGTATTTCAGGTCATTAGCTCTAATACTGTTACTCCAGCAGATGATGCTGAAAAGATCAAACTCTCCAAAACAGATTGAAAGGAAGAACAGAGCAATATCGACGACATAGTTCAGCACCTGAATTTCACTGAACCACGAAAATGGACCCGCAAGGCAACCATGTATAAATATTACTGCGCATGCCCAACATTTCGTTGCCTGTTTTCGCCTATTTTTGCTTTGGCACCACAGAGCCACTTACAGGCCTGGCATACATTTTGCAGCGTTTTCATGCATTCCTGTGGTCGATCACATTTATTTTACGTCTCCGTCTTTAAGACAAACGTTCTGGAAAATATTAGCGTTTCGTGTTTGTTTTGACTTCGTGTGGACGGGGCCTTAGACAACTTTTATTGTAATTTTGTATACACAGGGAGTCAACTTCTTCTCCCAAGATGTTAGCAGGATTCGGGATGCAACCAACCATCATTTTGCAAATCAGTTAATCTGTCAATTATTCCTTCGATTTCTAATCGGACAACTAAAGGCTCCTTAAAGAAGACTTTTTAAGAAATTAAACCAGGTGAAACTAAACCTTTTCACTTGGATTGACAGATGAAAACTTTTATTTAAATCTTATATGCAAAATATTTCTGGTAGAATTACTGCTCTAATAAGGTTGCTCTTTCAACTAAAGGCATGTTTTACAGTCTCTACACTCCAGTTAACAATTAATCTATTGATAAATTGCTTGACAAGTATTTTAATAATCGGTTATTCTGATTAATTGTTTCAGCCCTAAACAGAATTCAACTTGTTTCTGTTTCTTCTGAACTCTACAATTATCTCCCTGGGTTTGTTGACATTAAGGATCACAGTATTGTTTCCACACCATACCACAAAGTAATTCACTAACTCCCTGTCCTCAGCTTCTTGTCCATTTTTGATTAACCCAATGGTTGCAGAGTCATCAGAGTATTTCTGCAGATGACAGGCCTCTGTCTGATACTGGAAGTCAGAGGTGTACAGAGTAAAAAGGAATGGAGTGAGTACCGTCCCCTGCTGTGCTCCTGTGCTGCTGACTACGTGATTAGACAGCTGACCCATCTGTCTAACAAACTGTGGTCTGTTTATCAGATCCAGGCAATTGCTGAGTCCTCCACCTGAATCTTCTGGAGTTTCTCACAAAGTCAGGCTGAATTTTGTTAAATGCTTTGGTAAAATCAAAGAACATGATCCTCACAGTACTTTTCTAAATGACAGTAGGTTTGTTGAAGCAGGTGTATTATGGCATCATCACCTCCATGGCAATAAGCAAAGAGCAGGGGCTCCTGATAGCTGCTTGTTTGCTTCCTGAGGTGAATTAGCAGTGAAGGTTTGTGTGACGGTTGGAATGAAGGCAAATTTTTACACCATAAATGTAGTTTATTTTTTAGAAAAAATAAATTCAAAGCTTCAAATAATTTTCCTTTCACTTTACAGTACTCCGCTAAGTTTATCGCATTGAAATCTCAATAAAACACTGAAGTTTGAAGCTGCAAAGAACTTAATGTGGATCTGGCTGGAAAAATGAGACAGAAAGCAGGAAAGTCTAGCATGATGTCTAAAAGGCGTGTAATCTGGTTGGATTCAACAAATCGACCCAAGCAGGAAATTGCGCCCCAGAGAAAAACTAGAGCTGTGTAAAGGCAAAGGAGAAAAAAACAAAAACCCAGACTAGTCAGACACGTGGAGCGATGCAAACACACGTACGGGAATGGGCACGGCTATTGTAAACAGGCGCATGGAGAAAAAACACGCAAAAACAGTAATTCACACAGACTTGTATACACTGTCATCCTGCGCCGCGCGAGGAGCAGAGCAGGACAGGAAGGAGAAGAGGGAACAAAAACAAATCCACAGAGAGAAATAAATACAGAGACGCTGAGTTGTGTCAGCAGGCTTTGATCAGAGTAAAGAGAGGATGATCCATCTGAGTGAGCTGCTTATGTCTTCATGTTCCTATTCAGCTGGGTAGATCCAACTGTGAGTATAGGCTAGGCTGAAACACATGAACTGTCCTCATGCAGATCAGTATGAGCTTTTAAAAGATTTTTTGATAAAAAAATATCAAGTTAGTCGAACTTCTGGGCTATTGATCTGGTAAGTTAAGCACTGGATGATGTTATGAATCAGTGTCAGCTGTTTTCATGTTAATGACAGTAGATGCACTAATGAGGCTACAATGAGAAGACCCCAACCAAGGAATGGTTTGGTTGGCGGAGGCTACAGACACTTCACCCCTTCTTAGTTGTTTGACTCCTTTTCAGAAGTTAGAAGTTTTATTTTCAGAGTCAGTGTCACTTCTGATAGCACGAGGGATTACCTTAAGAGGTTTTAACAAGCAATCCAACTCAACCAGGATATGCTGGATTATTGTGCCTCCAAACAGTTAGAAGCATCAAGGATTCCAGGAGATGGGTAGGTACTCTAGAAGACCAATCTTATTGACATTTGAAAAAAGAAAAGACAATTCTAGTAAATGGTATTGCCACAGAAAAAACTAAAACCCCCTTTTAATTATAACCTGTTTTAAAGTACAATTATATTAAGTTGACCTCTTTCATTTAACAGTGTAAAAGCATTCGACATTCCCGTCTCTTAAAATTGGTCATTTATTCAGTTCATCTTTACCATACCCCACCTGCAGTTTCAGTGAGACCCTCCTATGGCGCCACATTTATTTCAAAATGCCCGTGAGCAAAATAAAAATACTTGCATGCATGTTAAACTACTGCGCATGTTTTATCTACAACCACACAACAAAATCACACACAGTGAAGAAAATCCCTCTCCGCGTGCGCCAACTCCTCCTACAAGCGCTCGGGATCTCACCATGCGGACGATTTTCTATCCAGCAGCCACGCTTGAGGACGCCTGCGCCCTCGAAAGCATCTCTGCCCTCAGACTGATTTTCTCCTCACGCAAAGGAAAATGTGTTTTGACAGGTTGGGCAGAGACCAACCTCCTCTGTAAGCCTCCTCCTGATTGGGCCTTGCAGACACGATCACACGGGAAGTAGTGTCAGGAAGCCTTTGACTGACAGCTTGTCATCCATAAGTGAAGACGATGGCTGAAGGTGGGGCAGTGGCGGAGGGTTCTCCAACGATTGCGGTATGTGGGGTAAGTGGTAAGTCTCAGTTAGGCACAGGTCGCATTTGAAAAGATAAGATTCGTATTGGATTCAGGACCACAAAGACAAGTGGCCTGCGTCGCACTGGAAAAACAACCCGTTCTGTGTTGTTCAGGGTCATGAACTGATCAGATATAGGTCGCATATGAGTTAAAAAATAAAAAGATTGGCTTTGAGTCCCTTCAGGCTGTTGTGCGAATGTATCCTTAGTCTTCCTCCATTGTGATTGTACAAATAGGGAAACTAACAAAGCAATGTCGTTGCTCGGCTACCAGGTACAGCAAGGTCTATATATTCAGTTTATTTCTATAGTGCCAATTCACAACACATATCATCTCAAGGCACTTTACAGTTCACAGTTCAAACAACGTAGTTTAGGTGATAAATACAGTGGATAGTTAATAAATGATATAAATATAACTACAAATATAAAAGAGCTGAGAAAAAAAATATGTTTGTGCAATAAGTAATATGTAGTTGGGATCTGAAACTAATACAGGTAATAACAAAGAAAGTGTGGTAGCAGCAAGGAGTAAGACGTAGAAACGAAATGAACATGAATTAAGATGTAGAAATTGATTGTTAGAAACGAAATGAGCAATCTGGTATTTCAAAAACCTGTCCAGGTCGTACCCCGCCTCTCGCTCGTAGACAGTGGAGATAAGCACCAGCACCCCTCACGACCCCGCTTGGGAGAATGAATGAATGAATGAATGGATGAATGGATGGATGGATGGATGGATGGATGGA